ACTGTGCAACAGCTGTCCTGCTGACGAGGTGAACTCTGCGTTTCCCAGCCCTAGCACTTGACGTTTCACACTGAATGTGGCACTGTCTTCTGGATCAGGATAAGCAGCATCTCTGGCTTGTGTGTCCTCCAAGGTAGTGGCTGCTTTGTCCCCAGCCCCCAGCCAGCTCTAGCAGCCACAGTCGTCCCTGGGAGTTGCCAAAGGTCCTTAGAAGATGAAAGAGCCTCCGCTGGACTGGAGCTCACCAGGTTATGAAATCTCATGGACTAAAAAGGCAATAATAGCAAAATGGGCAAGAGTTGAATCCATGAGGTGTGGATTTCTACAAATAGGGATTCTTGGAAATGACCACTCGCCAGAAGACATCGCTTGTACAACAAGGGCATAGAGAAGAATAAAATAATTTCTGCTGTAAAGAATTTATGCTGTGAGAGATGGAAATACTCTAGTAACTAAAATATAACACAATTAGGGTAAGACTAATTTTGATGCTGGTGTAAGCAAATTTAGAATGCCTATAAAAAGACACACTTGGGGAAAATGAAATGCCCAGATGAAAACTAGAGCTGAAGCACCTAAGTTACATTATAATAAGCAACACTGCTTTTTGGTAAATGGGATTTCCCAGTTGACGTGTATTTTCACAAGTGCTGGACCAGTGGGCCGCACAACATTAAAATGCATTTATTTGGTTTGGATTTACTTATTTATTTATTTGGTTTATACACACTGGTTGTTCATCTAGAAAGTTAAAGAGATTGTGGGATGCCTGTTTAAACACTAAAATGTTAGGAAAACAGCATTTTCACTGCACCATTTTGCTCTCCCTGTTTGAACTGCACAAATGCGCCGAGAGGCCTCCTGCACACTGCTCCTTTATCCCTTGCTGTGATCCCCACACCTTTGGCATGTCTATCACCATTCCAGGCTTAGAGTTCCTGCACAGCAATAGGAAAACTATTATTGTTTTTTAATCCATAAAAATCTCCCTAAAAATCTTCCCAGATTTTGGGTGGAAATGAATAGTGTTTACCAAAAAAAAAAAAAAAAAGACTCCATTTAATTGGTTCTGAGAGTAGTAAATTGAGATTAAGGAAGATTAAACTGGTTCAAATGCTGATTGCCATTAGATACTGCAAAATAAATTTTTTTTACATAACCGTTTAAGGAGTTCTGTTGACTAACCTGCACATCAAAGACAGTAAATGAGCCTGATTATGAGCTCAACTTGTGGTGTGCACTGTAACTCGTCAGATGAAAGCTGTTAACGCAAGACTGTGTGACCCTCAATCTGATGCAAATCAGCATGCTCTATTTGCATAACTGGGATACTATGTAATCAAGTGCACTGGTGGATATACCTTCTCAGAGGGCAGCATTTGCCCCCTAAGACAGCAAATCTGACATTTCATGTAGATTTTCCTATTAACTCTGATATATGTTTTTGCAATCCTGAGAATAACCACATGGCCTTGATGTGTGTTGTTTATTGCAAGTATAAACACCAAAGGAAATCTATAATTAAACTTAGAAAAGCACTGTCGGATAAATATGGGCATTAAGTCATTAGTAAGACTTTAGGATTCTTACTGTTTCCAGGTCAAGGCTAAATAAACTCAAAATTGGAGAATTATATAGACATCATTGATTGTACCCACTCTCCTTCCGGCTTAATCTTAATGACCTCCCACTAGGAGGTAAAACCAGTATTTTCCCTGTGGCAACAGCCATGACTCCTCAGGTCCCTGTTGGATGTGCTCAAAGGATGTCAGCTCCCTATTCCCCATGTTACTGGGCTGATGCATCTTAGCTGTGGCTGGAACTGCTTTTTTCCACATCAGCGTGCTGCTTTTCCTTCTGGACGTTGGGCTTGGCTTCATTTCCATTTAGAAAGGTCCCTGAGACGAGGATCTGGCCAGTAGAAGACAAAATATTTACACCAATTGGAAGCTTGACTTCAGATGGAGTTCTTCCATACTCCGCCATGCCTCTCCTCATTCCTCCTCGTCTACCAGTGGAATTCAGAGAAACCTGGGGCGGGAGTTGTGCGGGTGGGGTGGGTGTAGGGGAAGGGAGAGTCATGATTCTAGACTAGAGAAAGTCACCAGACACACAGATCCTGGGGATCAAAGTCTTATCAGAAACGGACAAAAAAATTACATGGGTGAAGAAGCATTTACTGTACGCAAACATTGAGATGTTAAGGTATTTGCTACAGCAGTTAGCCTGCTCTGCCCTCTTTCCTTGACTCTATACCGTCCTGGAGCTTCTGAGTAGTAAAGACAATATGTGAGCTCTGTTTCTGCAACCACTGTGTTAGGAGCAAAAGGGGAAAGTTCTAGAGTCAATGTTAGGTGACAAGTGGTAGCAATTGAGAAGAGGAAAAGGTTTCTGGAGAAGTTGTGGAAGGCGAGTGCCCAGACTTTGCTGTGTGCACTGCTAAATCCTAATGATCAGTATCATCACTAGCAGTAGCAGCCGGGAGCTTGTTTACGACAAGGACTGTCTCCTGCAGGGAACTAAGAGGGCCTAGACTGACGCAGGCAGCAGAGGCTAATTCAAGTCCGCAGGTGTCCCAAGACACTTAACGTTTGGAGCCTCTGGTGATCTGGAGATGAACTGTTCTCTTCATCATTGAAGCTTCTGAAAATCTGGGCCTGAGACCATCATTGCTTTTCCAACGTTCCTGATCCAACACTAGAATGGTCTCTGTTTTTCCTTCATTTTTGCAATTAAAAAAAAAGTTTCAATACTTCCTATAGACAAGAATTATTTGAGTACCACACTCTCCTGCCACCCTACTTCATGCCAAAACCCCAACTGAAAGGCAGGGGTGATGGAAGAGTGGATCATGTGCTGGGGCTTTGTCCAACCTTGCAATTCTAGGGTTTCTAAGCTTGTCACTCTGTTGTCCCAGGTTAATTCTGCTTACATATAGGTCCTTGAGCACTAACATTGTTTAGTGAAGAAGGCATTTTAAGAAATTGTTTGCCATTTAGCTTCTACTTATTCTTCCATTCAAATACATCCTCCTTACTCTTCAGGCATGAGTGTCTCTCCTGTGGCTTTGCAATGGCGTGGCCATTCCATCGCGGAAGTCTCATATTCCCCACTGTCTCTCGAGCTGCACCCACCAAAACCTTTCTTTGAGTCTTTCTTCAGTGTGGATGCTGTTTATGTAATGCACTCATGGATATGTTTTGTAAGGTGTCAACATAATCTTAGTGGCAAGGCGCTGAAGCTGTGCCTTTCCCTGGGATCTATAGCAGCTGGCTATCCCTAGGGGGCACTCCCTCACAAAACAGAAGCTACAGTGCCCTCAGCGCTGACAGGATGGGCGCACTCGAGGGGTATGGCTCACGGAGGCCCTCAGTCTGCGAACAGCAGGAGGCCAGAGCAGGCTGGGAGCCCTGGCCGGCACTCGTTGCCGGGGTCCACAAGGAAGAGCGAGAAAGGAAGCAACAGGCACTGGACGGACTTGCCTGCACCCCTCGACGTGAGGTGCCTGAGCTCTCAGCTGCTCCAACGCAGGAATTCTGGAGAAAGTTCCCCCTCCACTCCCCGTGTGAGACTATCAACAGCTCAGTTTAGGAGCAAAACTATCAGTTAGCCTTTGAGAGTCCCCGTCTTTCACCCAGGAGAGGGGCAAAGATACTGTGATCCGAGTCCGTGCCAAAGCAAGGGGCCGTGTGTGAGTTCTGGGGCTGAACAGCACGGCTTCCAGTTCTCCCCTCCAGACAGAACTTGTAACCTCCTCTACTCCATCGAGTAAGCACAGTTCCCTCGGGAGGAGCGCCTCGGTACTCATTCCTGCAGTTGGCCCCATCCCTCGTCCCTGACCTTTGCCTACTTCTCTGTCGTCTTTTCTGTCACGTCCTCTTCTCTTTCTCTTTTTGAGAGGGCCGCCACAGCGCACATTTGGCGTCCAGTGTGCGTCCCCAGCCGGTACTCCACGGCGGGGCAGCGGCGGGGAGGTGACCGCTGCCGTGTGGGCTGTGTGGAGGCGGCCCTCGGGGACCCGCGCAGCCCCCCGACCCCGGCAGGCGCCCCGGCCCTGGCTCCGCCCCGCTCCCCGCGCCCTGCGGGTCCCAGCTCCGCCCTGCGGGTCTCTGCGCGTCCCTGGCCGGTCCCTGCGCCTCCCTGGCCGGTCCCTGCGGGTCCCTGCGCCTCCCTGGCCCGTCCTGCGGGTCCCTGCGCCTCCCTGGCCGGTCCCTGCGGGCCCCAGCGCCGCCCTGCGGGTCCCTCCGGAGCAGGCGCGCGCAGGTCGGCGCGTGGGGGCTGAGTTGGCGCCTCACGCTCGGGGACGTCCCTTCGAGTGCTTTTGACCAGCAAAACCCAGGAAGGGGGCTCGTGGAAACATTTTTTTTTCTCCCCCCTGGTACACACACGGAGTAAGTACGTGGAACTTTGAACTTGGAAACGCATACAAGCAAGCCAAACGCCAGGCAGGCTCCACGTCCACTCCGAGGGCTGCTTCCCTTTTTATGGTAAAAAGCCGTGGCGGCTAATGGCCAGGTGGCCTTTTAAAGCTGATGGGAGGGGAGCGGCGAAGAAACGTGAAAGGCTGGCAAGCCGGGGCCGCTTTAAAAGCCGAGGGAATAGGAGGAACCGCTAGGGCGACCTGGCCTGCCTCCAGCTGTGCGACCGGCGCTCTGCGCCCTGACCCAACGCTTCCCTCAGACTCCGGAGTTGCTGCTCTGCCGTCTGCTGCTAAACTGAGGCAGAGGCGGGCTCCTTCCGCGCGAGTCCGAGGATGTTGTGAGCATGGGGCATTCCGGAAGCCCCAGTTTGGCAGCCTGGGATGCACTCAGATGACGAGGGCTAACTATTCTTAAGTTGGCATCTTTTTACAACTCAGGTCAGCCGCTTTTCTACCGTTCTCCGTGGCAGGGCTCGCATGCACCACGCGACCCTGTGATTCCTTGGCATGGACCGTTTGGAAAGTTCTGAAGCGGAGATGGAGCACTCTTGGTAGTGGAAAAAGAGAAGACAGATGGAGATTTTTCATGTTGACAAAAAAGTAGCTGCTATGATTTTCCCGGCAACGTGGACAGGGGCCAAGCGAAGCTGAACTGGACATGGTCCTTCGTCCAGTTTTTCTTTGTCGTCGGCGACTTTGCCCCCGGCCCTTCCTGGTGGGCCTGGGGGTGGCGATCTGTCTCTTCTTCCACACGCTCCCGCTCAGAGGTCCTGGGAGGCTCCCCGCCACAGCCCCTGCGGCTGTCCCCACCTCGCCCACCCAAGCCGGCAGATGCAAGCAAGGGCACCCCCTGGACCGGCAGTGCTTCCTTCTCTCCGACAGCGCCCAGGAAAACAGGAAGGTGAGCTTCTCCCGAGCTTTCCTGAGACTTTTTTTTTTTTTTTTTTTTTTTTGCAAAGACTAAAATTAACTTCCACGCGGTCTGAAAGCAATCCAGTTTCAACAGCCCAGGCAGTGAGCTGATGACAGGGAAACAGGTTACATAAGCTTCGACTTCTGCTATTTACTTCCAGAAGTTTCTGGCCTTTATTTTCTCTCGTAAAATTTAGCTTCATTTCCGTGGAATGAAACACGCTTGGGGGCGAGGGAGAAGGGAGGAGTGGAGGGAAAAGAGTGCCTAGGGGGTGGGGATTCAGCCTAAATCAATAAAACTTGAGGGTTTACAGTTCAGAAATATGACTCAAAGTTCCAAAAACTTGTTTAATATCGCAAGTCTTGTCCCTCAACCGCAGTATGAGTGACTGACCATTCCACACTCGAAGATACTCCTGCGTCACATTTTATAACTGGCTAAATTGATTCTTAATTGATTGACAAGTGTCTTAATATATTTATTTATAGGAGGAAGGATGGGGAGGGTGGCAGGTGGAGGGGGAAATCCCTGTACTTACAAAACCGTATCATGAAAAGTAATTTTAAAAAGAAACATAAAGGAGTATAGTAATAGGTTTCTTTGAATTAGTCGATAGTATTTTACTGCTCACAGAATTAGAGAAACAGAGATCTGTCTATACTTATCATTCAAATGAACTCTACTAATCTTGTCAAGTGTAGAAAAAAAACACAGTTCAAAAAACACGGGCAGAATTTGTGTCAGAGGTCATTCTGTTCATGTCTCTCTTTCAAACAGTCCAGTGGGGGGGGGGGGGCGGGGGAGGGAAAACCTATGCGGAAAAAATCGTGGTACCAGCATCAATGAATCCCATTGCACAGAAAGTGGAATTAGTAGCGCAACAAGAAAAGTGGATTCTATGAGGAGTCTCGTTTATGTACAGTCGCTCTAGGTAACTCTTTTTGATCCTGTTTTCCGGGGGGTGAGTAAGATTTCTTCTCGGGTACCAAACACTTCTGTGGCTACGGCCATCTCATTTTTAAACTCTTGAATTCGGTTCATTTCAGACTCATCATTATATAAGATAGTGACAAGATAGTCACTATCATTTACCAAAAAGCTGATGGGCACTGAAAGCTACCTTGGTACTCCGCAAGGATAGCATCTTGACTTGGTACCTCAGGAAGGAACTCAGGCTGCTAGGGTCCCACCATGGGACCAATGATGCTCAAAGTATGTAAGTTCCAAGCTCTTGTAGCAACTTCTAAAACCACAACTGCAAGACCTAGTGCAATGCAAAATGATACTGGACTAAAAGGAAGAAAACTAGAAAAACTTCCAAGGACAGACTGCGTTTATTATCAGTAATATCAAGGAGCATGTCGGTGACAGATGACGGAGGCCCTGGAGTGTCTAGATTGCATTCTGGTGGAATGTGTGGGTCAAGTTTTAGAGGCCATAGAATAACTGAAGAGTGTGTATTTCTTGTTTATTTATATTGGTGTTACCTTCTGTTTTCATTTTACTTCCCTTAAACAGATCAAGCTTATGATGAATTTAACTGTGATTTTTAGTCACTTCTCATCAGGTTTCTAATATTGATGAATGTGATTTCTTGAGTTGATATATAGCTTAGTTTTTAAGTGCCTAAAATTTCTGCTGAGCATTTTGGGCAAAAAGTTCTTATTCGTTAATTGATGGCCTTTCTCATTTCCATAGTACGTGTAATTCTATCGTTATGTATGGTATATATATATACATATATATATATATATAGATAGATAATATGGACTGTCACTAAAATATTTCATTTCTACTTTGGACCTCCTACTTCTATTAAGCGATCTGAAAGCATTGTTGTAAAATATGGCCTCTAGAATGTTCTCACCAAAAATGTCAAACACATGATGATTTTGGTTTTCAAATGATTCAAAGCCTTAAATATTTCAAGCATAAGCAAGATTCTAAATTCATAATTATAGTTTAGAAGCCCAGTGGATATAAAAGCTGAAATTCCAAACACTTGCTGTGTATTTCCATTTGAAACTCATGACAGCCATTAGTTTAGAGGCAATTTTACTTAAGATAGGATTTTCTCAGCTTATGGAACTGTATCATGAAAAACAAAAATTAAAAAAAAATAAAGTGGAAAGAGAATATCATCTAGGTGTTAGTTAAAACACAAATTACGTGGATTGCTAATTTTTTTTTATCTCAAAAGGAAAGATATGACAATCTATTTTTAAATGGTCAGATTTTTAGTTTGATTGTTAGCAAGAAGAAAAATGTCTTTGCAGTCAAATATCAAAACCAACTACTTGCAAAGTTCATTTAAAAATTAAATGAAGAAAAGCTTGTTGATTTTGCTGAGGGCCTAGAATTAGCTTTTAGGAATTTTATGAAGCTAACATTGTTACCATCTTTAAATTTCGTTTCTTATTTTTATCTTTATTGGCGTACCAAGGTATGGTTATTATTAGGGCTTTTTCTAAGTTGAATTTATTCCTTGTTGCTTGATTTCTTTTTTTAAGTTACTTCAAACAAGTATTTCTGGTTCATGGTTCATGGACTTCAGAGTTCATTTGAATGTATAAATGCCAGGAAAATCTGGATTAAAAAAAAAAAAGTTGATGCAGGTATATATGTTTATCTCAGAAAAGTCCCTGATTTCTGCTAGTTTTTTTGTTTTTGTTTTAAGAATTAGCAGCATCCTAAGAACTACTAAAATTACTTAAAACTTGGGTGTTTAAATGCCAAAGTAACTGCCCCTTCAGGACGTTTATACTAGATCTGAATTTAAAATGTTGAGATGAAAAAAAGTCTGAATTACAAACTCCAACTGAAGATGTTTATTTGAAAAAGTGTGTCAGCGAGTGTCGCAGTGTCTGAGGGGACAAAGGCTGCTGGCAGAGGATCTCTCAAGTCAGAATTTTCATTCATTGATGAATAAACCCAAGGTATTTCCGAGTCTTTAGGGGTGAGGTTATTTTTAAGAAAAGACCTTTTGTGTTTTGTTATTCTAGTACCAGAGGACTGGATGGTAGGCAGTACTTGGAGGTGGTTGACTTTGTCCAATGTGCTTTTATACTTGGGGTCTGGTGCAATGGCCAAAGGTGTTTTCATTGTGCATTGACATCATGTTATAGCACATGCCAACTTTCCACAGTCAGGAAGTACACCCCCTTGTTCTAGCCAAATTCTAATTTGTTTTTCCACTTGGATGCTCCAAAAGGCCTTGCGATGCAGATACACTCTCGTCATTTCTTCTGGATTTTCCCTTAACGTTGGTTTTCTGAGTATTGTCTCATGATCTTCTGAGTCCTGAGTTATTATATAGGCGTAGTTGTCTTTTCACTGAAGTAGGTCCCGGAGTTGATTGATCTGTTTCCTGGGATCTAACACCTTAACATTGCATAAGACAGGAAGCACATTAAATTGCAAGCAGATGCAATGGAAGAAAACCTCCTTAGTACTCACATATGCTCACTTCATGGAAACTTCGCTATGGGGGATATATTTATACTCACAGAGCATGTGTTTCTGATTATCTCCTAGTGGTACTCCACAATGAGAAGCACTATTTCCCTGACTATTCATTTTCCACGTCTTCTTGACCCTCCCTTCTCTTTGTGTGAGTGGTCTATTTGCCTGTTCCTCTGCCTACGATCTAACCACCGGCCTAGGTGAATAAGTGAATGTTGTCATTTTTAAAAATCCTGATTCTTAATGCATTTTTGGCAGTGAATAATATATTCACTGCTTGAAAATTTCTTTGGAATTACTTGCTTAGCCCAGGTTTTCGAAGGGAAGGAGGGAGAGCAAGTGAACGTGCTAGTGTGAACTCGATAAGGTCTGTCTGCAATGGTTACGTCTCCTAACAGGATTGCAGGGGAGCGGACAGAAAGTGTATGCGGTGTGCACCCTGATTTCCTCTTCTCAGGCCTTGGTGGGGGTTCAGCTCATACTGCTGTGCTATGTAGTGCTGGGTGCATTTCCAGGACAGCCACTGGGTAGCCATGCCCTTGGTGGACGTGGTCCTCTCAGTGCCCCAGTGAATGCTGTGAGTAGGTGCTTCCCGGGTCATTGGCAGCTCAGGGTGTGAAGGCAGCATCTCGAATTCTGTGAATTCCAAAGCGGCCTGAAGGATGCCCACTAGTGATCTAGCATCTACTGGGACTGCAGTTACAATCATTTTCCTCTTGGAAAATCTACGCAAATGCCCACTCTTGGGACCTGGTCTCATGGTAACACAGAAGTTTTGTAGTTATCTCACTGTGAATTCTCCTCTTCAGCTGAAACAGAACCAAACCTTGTTTCATCTTTACCTTCCCAACTGATTCCTTTCATTCATTCTTCTATTTTTCTATCCATTTAAAAATATTTATGGAGCCATTTGTTTATGCTGGCGTCTTTATAAGAAAGATGAACAAATGAATACAATGATAGGAAGCATTGTTGTAAGACTACTTTTTGAAGATGAGAAGGAGCTAGAAAGGATTGAGAAAGAAAAACAGGATGATAAGCAGCAAGATTCTCTGCCAAGAAGAAAATAAATACCTGATACTAAAGATTTATAGGGGTCTGTTATGCAGTGTGTGTGAGTATGTGTGTGTGTGTGTGACTGATGCACATAGGAAGGTGAGCACACAGGCTAGAAGGTTCAACAGGGTCTAGCTATAAGAAAAGCACGCATGCTAGGAGTTCTTGATTCTGAAGGCCGCACACCTCTTTGAAGCACATTAAGTAAAAAATACCGTGAGGAGATTTATGTCTCATGGAGTCCAAAGCATACCTGACAGAACAGAACACACTGGGGTGGGATTGAAGGCAGGCAGAGCAGTTGAGAGGCTGTTTCAAAATGTCTTTGCTTTACAACATCCTCTTTTCCTGGTGTGTTTTTAAACTTTCAACCTTTTCCAGGCTGGCTTTAGTATCGCTCTCTATCATGATATTTCCAATTTCAAGTCTTCCCGTTGTTCAATGTTCAACAACCTTCCTTGAGCAAGCAC